TGCAGTAAGTAGAAGGGGAGAGAAGACAAAATTTATAGTGATTCGGTCAAAACGATCTACGTCCACTTTGAATGGCTAGGTTCGCCGAAATTTTATTATCTCCGATGTGGAGGGAAAACACATAATTACAAACTTTGAGAGAGGAGGAGAGAATTATGCTCAAATGAGTCTGATGCCCCCCAAGTGTTGGGGGAGCTTACAATTTATAGTGGTTTGGTATAATAATTGTATGACTAGTCTGACGGTCATAATGGCTTAGGACCGTTTGATAGTAATTAGGTAGCTGATCTGGTGGAGGCGACCTATCATCTTTTTAACGGGTGAGCTGTGACAGTTGGTGTGCTCTCCAAAGAACTTGTTCAAAGATGAGGGAGGTTGACTCTCTCCAGGCTGCGAGAGTAAGGTTCTTGGATACCCCCTTGGTGGCGTAGATACTCTTGGATGACCCTTACTCCAAAGTGATAGAGGAGACCCTTACTCCAAGGTGGTAGAGGAGACTCTTGGATGATCATGCATGCTCCGCTGCAGCTCCTTGATCTTGATAAGGTTATCCGGGTGTAGACTTATTTGAGCTTAACTAGTTCGATCTTTTGACATTGAGCTTTTAGCTCGAATTAGACTTATAACATGGGTTGAGCCTTTGGACTTGACCCATCATAATGAATATTTTATCCATGAGGGGCTTGATTGTTTTAAGTGATAGTTCAAGCACGAAATGGAAATCACCTCTAAACTTTAACATGGATACCATAACTCACCCCGTATAATTACAAAAGAACAAGTCGCTCGCTAAGGGATGATGGTTCACTTTCCCGAGGTCACACATGGACAGAACTAATGCTCCGTTTGGACGATGAAAAAGTAGGAGTATGAAAAGTTGGAAAGATGAAAAATTGAAGAGATAAATAAAACATCATGTTTGGTAAGGAAAGAAAGTAGGAAGAATGGAAAAGTGAATCAATTAACTTTCCTTCCAACTCACCAAAATTAATCCCTCCAAAATCGGAAAAAAAGTTGATGAAAAGTTAATTATTTGTGTTGAGATGTATCTTATTTGTTTATATATCTCATGTATACATTAATTTCATATAAAAATATAATGGTAAAAAAAAATATATATATATATATATATATATATATATATAATTTGTAAAAACAAAATTTAAATTTTAAATTTTAAATTAAAAAAAATATTTTTTCTATCTTAACTAAGAGTGAAAATTTTCAACTCAACACGATGATACGACTCGATTTTAATACAAAAATAAACATGTCAACTCGCAACTCGACACGACACAATTAGTTAAATGAGTTGAGTTAAGTTAAGTTTGACTAATATTCGACACAAACTCGTAATGACTCAACACAAATATGACACGACATGATTCGACTTGATTGTCACCCTTAATCTTAGGCCAGAATAAAAAAAATAATAATAAAATAGTCATTTTTATTTTTCATCCATCCAACTAAACACAAATGAAAGAAAATGTATATTTCCTATTTTCCATCCTTAAAGAATAGAAAATGTATCTCTCCTACTTTTTATCCTTCCTACCAAACGGAGCATAAGAGTAGATCACACTGAATATTTTCTCGTAGGTCGGGGGGGGGGGGGGCATGGCCTTCTCAAATTTTAAAAATTTTAATTATCCCCCAATATATTTTTAAAAAAATTTATTGCTAAACTATAACTTTTTAAAACACTTGATGTTTAAATTTCTCACTCAGTGTATTCAAAAAGATCAATGACTTAATATTTAATAATCATTTAGGATGTAATCACATGGATGAGTGTCATTTGTACTGACGTAAATATTTGTTAGATTATTTTGATTACCGTGGAGAAAAAATAAGTGACTTTTTTATTACTATAATTTATTTATAGACATAATGTGAGATTATAAACATGAAAAAAAGAGGATGATAATATTTTCATAAATGAATTTTTTTGATGACATGATCCAATTTTTGAGTTTTGTGCTCATAATTAATTTTTTGATGGCATTGCATAAAAGTTAATTTTAAATGGTTCTTTATAAATAAAAATTTATCATTAATAATGACCATTGAATACCCTCATTAAATTAAATTTTTCTCTATATCATTATTAATTCTCCTCAAGATAAAATCCTGGTTCCGTCCTTGGTCACACATTACATTCTATTGTAATACGTGCACAGATTTTTTTTAATTTTAATGGTCCCTGAAGCTGGCAGAAGAACACCAGAGGCTGCAAAGTATAAGAAAAAGACCATCAAGACTGTAATAAAAATAATTCTAATACAAACAAGAAAGAATTAGAAGTGGATGGAGGGTCAAAAAAAAATCTGACTTTAATGCTCCGTTTGGTACGATGAAAAAGTAGGAGGATGAATAGTTAGAAGTATGAAAAGTTTGAGAGATAAATAAAACATCATATTTGGTAAGGAAGAAAAGTGTGAAGGATGGAAAAGTGGATGAATTAACTTTCTTTCTAACTCACTAAAATCAATCCCTCCAAAATCGGAAGGAAAGTGGATGAAAAGTTAATTATTTATGTTGAAATATATTTTATTTGTCTATATATCTTATGTATACATTAATTTTATATAGAAATACAATGGTAAAATATGTATATATATTTTAAAAAATTTTAAAAATTAATTTTAAAAAAATTAAAATTTAATTTTAAAAAATTTAAAATTAATTTAAAAAAATAAAAAAATTAAAAATAAATAAAAAAAAATTAAATTAAAAAAATATATTTTTTTCCATCTTAACTGAGGGTGAAAATATTCGCCTCAACACGATGACATGACTCGAACTTGATACGAACATAAATAGGTTAACTTGCAACTTGACACGACACATTTAGTTAAATTAGGTTTGACTAATATTCGACACAAACTCGTAATGACTCAACACGAATCTGATATGACACGACTTGACTTTATTATCACCCCTAATCTTTGCCAGCACAAAAAAAAATAGTCATTTTTATTTTTTATCCATCCAACTAAATACAAAGGAAGGAAAGTGTATACTTCCTACTTTCTATCTTTCCTATTTTCCATCATCTCTACCAAACGTTGCATAAAAGATTTGCAGAAAATCAAGGTTGGTTTAGAAAGAAGATGTAGGAATTGCACCAAATTTATTAGGATGCCAGGCAGGCTATGTGACAAGCCATTAAATTGAGAACACCTTTGCAATGCTATATAAAAGGTACAACTTTCAGAGAACTTTGAACAAGGCAAGACCAGGGGTGGTCGGCATCCTTTACCATGGCAAAACTCTCTATCATCTCCTGTTTCCTTACCATCCTGTTCATCATCACTTTAGGTCTCTCACTCTCTCTCTCTCTCTCATATGTGTATCTTCTAGAGTTAGAAAACAAACAATAGAGGTGCTATTAATTAAAATAACGTTATTTTAATACAAAACGATGTTGTTTTAATCAACAACACCTCTGTTATTAAAAATTAACAAGAGAAGAGCCGGACCTCTTTGTCTCTCTCCTACGACCTACTACACTTTTTACTTTAAATGACATGTTACGTTGGAAAAAAATATAATCCATATTAAAATGCTAGGATTTTTTGTAGTATTCATACTGTTCAGCACTGCACCTAAGGCTGCGATTAAAAGAGGTCAAATTAAGTCTCGAACAAGTTATGGTATGAATTAGTAGGATCAATTCGATGTAATTCTAAAAAGTTAGTTCTCTCCTAACACTTTTAAAATCGATCTCATAAACTTGAGATGTTTAAGTCACAATTGGACCTTACTGGTTATAATTTTTTCTTGAAACCATGAAAAAAGGAAACTAAAATCAAAATGTTTGAACTGTTTTTATTTTAATTTTTGTTTTTGACCTGAATTTATTTGCAGTGGAGATGAAAGCACTTGCTGATCAAGTAGTGTGCTCTAACTCCTTGGGGTGTAAAAGCTCTCTAATGGCATGCTTTAATGACTGTCGACAGAAGTTCCGTGGCTACGTCGCCAAATGCACTAAGCGTCAGCGTCCGGTCTTCCCTGCGCCACCAGGCCACACCACTACGCGTTGCCGTTGCTTTTGCTCATGCGAATTGAAAAAGAAGAAAGGTAGAAAATGTGCACCGCCGCCGCCTAACCCACCAACGGTCTTTAAAGTCTCCCCTATGATATGATAGAGATTATCTCTGTTACATTTTTATTAAAATTTAATAAAAGTATAATGAAAAGTATTTAAATTAAATAATACATTTACTTATACATTTATGTGCATTTATTTTTATGCACCCCCATTATGACCAATGGTCTATTGGTAAAAAAAACTACCTATAAAAACTATATTCCGTCTATCTTACTCCGTATTCATTAATGTTGGGATAAGGTTGTTTGTCTATTTTTTATTGGAAAAAAAAATTAATATAAATGAGTGTATTCTTTTTATGTAAAATTATGCATTTTTTTTGTCCCAATAACATTACTCTTTTTAGTGTGATTTCTCCAACACTTTTCCAAATAAAGATTAGGAATATTTTGTTTTGTAGGGAATTTGAGATCATGTGATCGGATTTCGTTGATCACCTTATAATTGTGGTTAAATTCTATTTATATTTTGAAATATATGCTTGGTTTTTATTTGGTCTCAAAATTATAAATTAAAATAGAAAAAATAAAATCTAGTACATGGGCATGGGGCCTCCTTTAATTTTTAATCATTTTTCAATTATATTTTTTTTTAAAAACCGTCACGGGAACATCCTGTATTGACTTATCTATTGTAGATTTTAGTTTTTCAATTGCACATGTTAGTTCCATTTTTGGAGGATCAATAGTTGGAATAATGACCACCGTAAACCTGTCGTTAGACTGTTAGGTTGCAAGTTTGAATTTTCCGTCTTGTCTAATGTAATTGTTCAAAACAGTGACCCCAAAAAAAAAAAAAAATCATATTTGCATTTTTGACCCATATAATTAATTCAACAACCAAATCGGGTCTAAACTCTTAAATGCAGAAAATATAATTTAGGCTCTAATGAAAAAAGAACATGTCACTCAATGGCTCTTGTTCTCAAGGTTACATTTGCCATTTACCCAAAACAATAGAATCATATTCCCCGAAGAATGATAAAAACATCAAACGAGAAATACAAGAACACACAGTAGTAGAGTCGGAACAGTAGGACTTAATGTCACTTGAAAACCATAATTCCTACAAATATTAGCAGGATAGATATTGTAGAGGAAGAAACATAAGATGGATTAGAAGCTGATGTTGATGTCACCACTGGTCTGATTCCTGGATTTGCCATCGGGGTTAATGAAGCTACTGGTGGAGATGCCGGAGTTATATCCTCGGTCGTTTCTGCTGCCGCTGATGTCATGTCTGCTGCATTGGAAGCTGACAGAGGAGTAAATAAATAAAGAAATACATGGCATCAGAGCTAGAATTATGAGTAATGTTCTGTAATGGAATATCAAAGTTTCTGTCAATAATTATTTTGAAGTTTTTTTTTTATTGTTATATCATAATTCAATGGTTTCGATTAATGTTACACATGAACATGAGTTCATTCGATACAAGTTGGGCACATTACCTGTTGAACTAGTAGAAGCAGAAGCTGCAGGTGATGCACTTGGTCCAAATAGGACAGGACCTGTCAATTACTAAGTTTTTAGTAAAAAGTGATTGATAATAGAGAATTTCATTCACAATGAATATTCATCCCTAGTAAACATGCCAGAGGGTAAAGTGCAACCATATGAGTTGAGAATCTTGAAATACATATTCAATAGTTCAACAAAGTCTTGGCTCAACTATCTCAAGTCAGTTACCTTAAAATTTTTTCAATTGTACGGATAAGATTACTGACTCAAATTCAAGTCTCTTATATCATAAATGTCTTTACGTCAAAAGTATAATTTTTTTTTTCTTTCGGTCTCCTTCAACCCCTCCCCGGGAAAAAAAAGCAGGGATGATGGTACTTCCACTTCCCCAGAGTCACAACTACATTCTATTGCAATACATGCACAGATTTTTTAAGCTTAATGGTACCTGGAGCTGGTAGAGGAACACCAGAGGCTGCAAAGTATAAGAAAAAAGATCATCAAGACTAATAAAAACCATTCTAACACAAACAAGAAAGAATTAGAAGTGGATAGAGGGTCAAAAAATTAGTTTCAATTTTGACAAAAGAGTTATAACCTTTGCATTGTAGTGGCACACTACCACTACATGCCTGAGGGAGTGAAATCGCTAGGTTGGCATTAAAGGGCAATGAAACAGGGACATTCCCAGTTACTATAAGGCAAGTGCAATCCATGCTAGTACTCATGAGAGACCTCAGTGAATTGCAGCAGTCAGAAGTTGGTGCAGCAACCCTGTTGCCGCTGGTGCTTCCTGTGATGTAATTTAAACATGGGGTAAAGCTAGTGATCATTGAACTGGTGCAGGCTGTGCTAATTTGTGCATTAACAGAAGAAAACAGGAAGACTAAAAGGGTTGCAGGTACTGTTAGATACGATAAATCCTTAAAAGCTGCCATGAGTTTTTGAGAAGGTGAGCTGAAAGACAAATGTCTTGGAAGTAATTACTATGAGATCTGAGTATTGTTTGAGATTTTGATGTAAAGGATTTATAGATTGATAGATTTGAAGTGTTTTGGGGGGGAAATAGTGGTAGATTTGACTTGGGTTTTGGAGCTCAACTACTTTAACTAACTTCTCTACTAGGTTGGCATATTAGTTGTGCAGTTTGGATTACATGATAGAACCACCCATTAGTTTGAGAGTAAAAACAAACTCTAATTGATTCTTCCCACTTTTACTTGGTTCATTTCTTGGTGGAATAGCTCCCTAATAAACCCAAATGGATGGTTAATCCCAAGGGAGAGTTGATCATGAGAGTTGCCAAACAGTCCTAAAATGATAGAACCAACCATTAGTTTGAGAGTTGGCCAACCAAATACACCTATTTGTTTTTGGTCTTTCCAAAAGAACTTCATATTTCAACTCCAACTCTGTCCTCCCTTCCTCTCCAAACTGCAACATTTCAAACCAAATTAACAAACTTCACATCCTAGTCCATCTCTGTTCCCCTGGAAATTTCTGTTGGGCTAAAAAAACCCAACAAAAATAAATGGCCTCCAAAGGGAGATTGGTCAATCCATAGTCCTCTTCGGTTATGCTAGGGGTGGAACCATGGATCAATCAGGTGCACTAGGACACTCATGGGCAGGTCCCGAGCCTAAACGCCGGAAATGCATCCAGACCATTGTCATTATGCTGCTCATAGCTCGTCTCTGTCGTTCAATCGCAGCCACAGTGCCTCCTTGCTCGGTAACGAAAGGTGCCGGTGCCTCCCTGGGTATCACTATAAATCAGACTGTGCTCTGTTACTCCCTGGTGCTTCTCTAATGTGCAGACTCCAGCATTTAGACAGTGTAACAGTAAGCACTAGTTCTACCTTTTTTGCTTACACCTATCAAATATTAAAAGAAGGGGATTCACTGTATTTCAAATTAGCTTGAATTTGTGTGGTGAAAGCAGCAGCAAATTAAATAGACCAAAAGCCTGCCCACCAAGTTCTCCAGTGGGTTGTTCTCCAGCAGATTTTTCAAATGAAACTACTGAAATTCCAACCACGCCATCAGACTCAGATACCCATCAATCAGGTATATTTGTTGGATATCTGGAAAGTGGTAGTGATATTAACTAGCTAGCACAAAATCTCTTCAAGTGTAGAACTCAATAAATTCAGGACACTTGTCTATAATATAATAAGACAAGTGACAGAAATTATCAGCTAACATGAAATGGGGTTTGACAGTGTCCAATTGGACTGGTATGGATAACAATGTCAGGCACGATGCCTCAGGCGCATCACTGTTGGGCGAAACACATCACGTCCTGGAAGTGACAAAAATGGACTCTTCACTAAGGGTGGATGGATAAGACAAGAACCGCAAAAAGTCTGAGGGCAACCTTAGCAAGACTTGCCTCCCCCACTGCAAGAGTGGAATCTTCAACCTACTGGATATTGTTGCTTGACTGGCCCAGTGGATTAAGAGAAAGGGTCTCCACCTGGGGACATGTAGTATGACCATTCTCAAGGAAGAACTGAACAACGGGGGAGAATGAGCATGATTATTAACCTCGGCTTAGGACAAGGTCTTGAAGGTTTAGTCGGTTAGAGTAGATCTCTCAGCGTATGGCTCATTGCTCATTGGGGGAATCCTAGGTAGTGGCACGCTGGGGAATCCTGTACATAACCTTCTCAAGGTCATGATCTCACGATGACTAGTTGCGATCATTAACCTTAGAAGCTCCTTTTCGCCCTGTGGCACTCCTATTTGGGGACCACGTATAGGCTGTATTTGAAAAAATGTTGCATCTGCCTAGTTAATGTTAGAACACGTAGCTCGTAGTCGAGACAGTTATGGGTTGGCGCGAGTGTTAGAGGGTCACAACGAGCAGTCGACCTACTTGAGAATTACGCTATAAATACCCACATTACTTGTCCATTACAGTAAAAATGATGAGATTTCTGGCAGTGAGAGTGCTTATTCTCTCCCTCTACCCTCTACGCAATTGGTTGGTCCCTTTGTTAATAGTCTGTTCGAGTTTTTTCTATCTTATCCGTTTATCTTACTCATCTCTTTTGATTATCCTTAGCTAGGGATGTTCATGGATCGATTTGTTCCACGGTGAAAAAATAGACTCAAAGCCTCGATAGGCGGCCTACCTAAATTCAATCCCAAGCCCAACATCCTTCAAGAGAAGGCTTGGACTTGCTTTCAAACCCATTACCCAGCCTATGAACCTGCCTGCAAAATTCCGTTCAAACTCGATCCAATAGTCCTCACACCCAACTCGTCTACCCTATGCCTCTTAAAAAAAAAAGTTAGGTTGTCCTCCTATTCATAAATAAAATTATTGATTATTTACTAGTGAGTGGTGGATTGGGCTGCAGGTAGCCTATCCTACCAGAAGCTCAGCCCGGCATGCTCAATAACTTGTTTGGGTAAGGGCTCAAACCTACTCTATCCAGGCCCAACTCAAAAAAAATTCACGGGTCTAGCCCAACCCGACTCAGAACACCCATACCCTTAATATAGACACGTGTATCAACCTCTTTTAACTCTTCACTTATATCAAGCAATATTTATGAGAGAACTTCTAAGTCCATAGTAAGAAAACAATGCCATAAAAGCCTCCTGTAAAGAAGCTGCTTGATCTCAAAAACTTAATTCCTGACCACAGGTGTTAATGATTAATCCTATTCTAAAACATGTCGAAATAAAAGGAACCACAAGTGTTAATAATTAATCCTATTCTAAAACATGTCGAAATAAAAGGAACCACATTTGATTATTGGAATGTACCACTAAAAATAAGTTAGAGATCCACTAAACTAGTGGATATTGGACTATGAAAATCTGTCAAAAACAAGGTCTCAACAACAGACAATAAGACAAGGTGCATAAGGCCTAGTGCACTATAGACCATGCAGCTTGTAGTTTGCATCTTCCAGGGTTTTGAATCTTCAAATCATTGTCTTCATGACTGGAAAAAAGGAAAAAGAAAAGATCATCAAACCCACTTGTGCAGCCCATGGCCATGGAGGGATGTGGGCAGTAGATATATTCATTGACTGACTTGGTCTCAGGACCAGCATCCTACCTTAGCAAACTAAATCATTCACATTGGACTCAAGAACTGGACAGCCTAAACTACAACCTGCACCATGAAAAAAGGTTTTGAGTGTAGCATAACAATCTTAATTATCACTGAACAACTTAGCAATTTGTGATGTATTTGACTGATCGAAAAATGTTTTGGTGTGTTTGAAAAAACATGGCTCTCACTTTATGAATGGCCTATTCTTGTTGAAAAATGCTTTCTTGAATACCTGCAGCTCATGCAACACCATAACACAAAATATTAAAATAATATACTCCTTTTAAAGGCCACCTCACTTAGTAACCTTGCATATAAAGGAAGTGGAAACAAAAATTATCAGCAACTTTTTCCCATCATACTTTGGTTCATACTGTAAGGGCTAAAATTTGCACAATCACTGAAATGAGTTGATGTGCGCCTTTGGGCTTCGAATATTACCTAGTCCATGATCTACAAAACCAGAGAGAGGTTAGACAGATCCCCGGCGTTGAGCCAGGAGAGGCCCCTCCGATGTTTAAGTCAGTATTGTGATCAATACGTAAATAGGCAAATGTACAAAATTAGGAAAATAATATAGGTGTGTGTGGGGTATGGAGCCGAGGTGCTCATACTTGAGGTCTCTCTACCTTTAGGTCTTCACTCATTTTTTATAAAGAAAGTGAAGAGTTATTTACCGTTGAGAGGTCATGTTCCTTATATTGATACATTTCTGAGATACGTATCTTTGTAGGTATTAAAAATTGTACTTGAGTTCAATTGGTCAATCGACAAGGTTGACAGTTTTGTGTTTTCTTGAGAAGATAAATTATAGGTCTTATTATAATACACCCATGTGATGTGGAGCCCTCTCCATTGATGCAAAATGTGGTCCATCACATACATTAAAAAATGTGATCAGACCAAACACAAAGTTGAGACCAAACTAGAAAGGAACACGTAGTCCTTACTCTGTTTAAAATTAAATCAATAAATATTAGCTGCGTACCAAATAATCTGTTGTAAGGTAGGAAAAGTTGGTAACCCAAATATGCAATCTGCTTTCCTGTTCCCCAGATTTCTCCCTATATAAACCACTTCTCTTTTCTCCTGAAATTATAGAAGGAGCTCATTAATGAAGAATTATCTTATTCACTGATCACAAGAATTGTCAACAGTGTATCTGACAAATTCAATGGCAGCAAGAAAGATGGAGATGGTACTAACACTGGTGCTTGTGACAGCTTTATGGACAGGGTCTATGGCTCAACAAAGTTGCACTAGTGTGATCATAAGCTTATCCCCATGCTTAGACTATATAACAGGAAACTCTTCAACCCCTTCTTCTGCATGCTGCACTCAGCTTGCTAACGCTGTCAGGTCACAGCCAGAGTGTCTTTGTGAGATCATTAATGGTACCATCTCATCACTTGGAATTAGCATAAACCAGACTCAGGCCATGGCACTCCCCAATGCTTGCAATGTCCAGACTCCGCCTGTTAGCCGCTGCAATGGTAAGTAGAAACAGTAAATCTTCGATAAGTGAAAAGGACACTACTTTCTCTTATATTTGAAGACACAAGTCATGTTACATTGATCTTTCTAATCATTCTTCTCTATCTGGACAGCTTCTTCCCCCGTGGGGTCTCCAGCTGGAACGCCAGGTTCTCCATCCACTCCTTCTGGTAAGAGATTATATATCGTGTTACCATCCCCCACACCCTCACAACACACACACACACACACACAAGTTTCAGAGTAAAAGTTTCAATTACAGAACATGGATCAGAATTCCAATAAATGGACAATATATATTGATAACAATTTCTTCTGCTGAACCCATGGAATATTCAAACTTGGATCAATTCTACGGCTAGAACTATCAGACTGATGCTATTATCTATTGGTGCAGGCAGTGGATCTAAAACTATACCATCACCAGGAGGAGTTTCATCAGATGGATATTCCACCAAGTTGCCATTTGCTCTGCTGCTTTCTCTGCTATCCATCACATCATATGCTTCCACTTTCATCGCCATCTGAGCTATCTGTTTTCATGTCCATACTCTTCTGTCACCATTAGTCTACCCCATATATTGTACACTTTTCTTATATACAAATATATATAATATGCATATTATAATACGTGGAGGTTTAACTTGTTATTTAAGTAATAGAAATATTTCATACCTAATTAGTAAGAGGGTGGCATGTGCCAAGTCGAAGGCATAATAAGGCATTGAAAATGCAAATAGAAGGTTCTTGCAAAGTCGATATCGAAACTTGAAGTCAGATATGCAATGAAGAGAAGGTTTGAATATACAGCAACAAAGTATGGCAAGGTCTCTAGTTGTGGTCATGCATAGTAAGTACCATTTAGGATTAGCAATTGACCAAATGGTCACCACAGCCATCGTTGGACTGTTCAAACCTCACCGGCGCCCTTCGATCCCCTTTAACTATCAAAAAGTACCATTTTCCAGGTCATAGAAATATTACGCTCGATGATAGATTCTTATGGACCACTCCAACAAAGAAACAAACATATTACCTGCACAGTGCACACACATGAAGCGCCATAGTGTTAGCATCAAAAAGCACTACTTTCAACATGGCTTATAAGCAAACCGATTCTTTTGTTTTAATGAGAGCACCAGTGCAGCTGAAGTTAAAGATAGCTAGAGAAAATCAACTACTTATGAGTTTAATAGATTTAACCAGGTAAGAACTCTTAGAGTGGTTGACTTGTTGAGTGTGGCCTTTAATAACCTAGAGATCTCAAATTCAATATCTCTCACATCTCTTTTAAAGGTCCGTCACCATTATTTCTCAAGGAATATATTCTAAATCCGCTCGTTGACCAATATTTGAGCTCGAGGAATAATCGGAGCAAGCCTGGACACCCTACAGTAAAAAATAAAAATAAAGGTGGATGTGGATGTGGATATGAGTACAACGATATATAGACACGGCGATACGATAAAATCTAAAAAAAAAAGGATACGGGTATCGTTATGATACGTTTATTAAAACAGGAAATATATGAGGGATTAAGAATAAAAATCATACAAATTAAACTAATTTATGTTATCCGCAAATATCCGACAAGTATCGATATTCGATATGAAACATGACTTGTTTCACTAAATTTAAACATGAATTGTCACCATGTAGATCCCGTATTTGATGAGTATCCAACAATGACAAAAAATTTATTAATTATTTGATACGGACGAAAAATATCTGATATGTGTCTGAGAGTGTCTGATACCTATCGATCCTCCAACACTACAAAAGTCAAAAATAAGATTTTATTCAAATAACCAATTTTCTTCAACAATTACAAGGAAAAGGATTGAAATGACTATGATATTGATATATATGTAATTAAGTAGAATCATAAAGCACGGCAACAACCCAAATCGTTCGTATCAAACAATTTATCTTATTATTTATATGTTAATCTTTTAGCTAGAATAAATTTATTTACTTACATTTTACCTTTTACCCTCAATAAACATGTTCAAATTAAATATATTAATCATATATTTTCTTAAACATTTTCCTCAAAATAAATATTTGAATCACAACAAAAAATAATGTGTTTTAAACGGGATATCGTAAATTAATAAACGATAAAATTTAAACATGAATTATCCCGTTCATCAGAATAACACTTTTTTTTTTATCTTCATCGCAATAACACTTGCAATTGAGTTAAAACTTAGATTACATAAAACGGGAGCAAAAAAGTGACATAATTCAAAAATATTTGAGAGCGGATGCACCTTGAGAATATCATATCATATGCATGTAGACCAAAAAAAAGAAAAGAAAAAACATAAGTTAAAACTATGATTTTTTATCACTCTTTATTTCACAAAGGCTATTTTTCATTTTACCCACAGAGGATTTGGTAGGTATGAGTTACAAATCAAATAACAAACATATCCCATAAATTAAAAACACTATATTGACACAGATGGAACCAGCTTGCACTTTGGAGGTACCCACCACATTTGTAAAATATCAAACAATAATAAGAGAGATAAAAAGAGAGGTTGGTGTAAATTTAAAACACGTGTTATGCATTTGACTATCTAGTCCACACCCTTTCTAATTTATCGCATCTTCAACATCTTTTCTTTTTTTTTTTTGAATCTTCATTGAAACCCCATGTCGAATTAAAATGGTTAACTAAAATGTAATTTTACTAAATTGTCCATGATATATTTTACAAAAAACTTCATCCATATTTCTTATAAATAGACATATTTTCAATGCAACTCTCTCTACTTTTAATTTTTTTACGTATTAAAATTCTAGTTAATTAAAATTTATTTTTTATGTATTAAAATTTGAGTAGATTAAAATTTATATTTTTGTATGTATTAAAATTTAAGCCGATTAAAATTCTATTCGAGGCTAAAATCAAATTTTAATCAACTTAGTATTAAATTTTAATCGGCCCGAATTTTGATACATAAAAAAATATAAATTTTAATTAACTCAAATTTTAATACGTAAAAAATAAATTTTAATTAACTCAAATTTTAATACGTAAAAAATAAATTTTAATCAACTTGAATCGAATTTTAATAAATAAAAAATATAAATCTTAATCGATTCGAAGTAAATTTTAATCGGGGCTAACAGCCCAAGTAGAACTCAAATTGGTTTGAATTTTAATATTTAAAAAAAAAAAAATTTAATCAACTCGAATCAAATTTTAATATGGAAAAAAAAATTTAATCAGCTCTAATTTTAATCGGCTCAAATTCTAATCAAAATTTATGTAGAAAGATTATTTGAGATTTATGTAGGGGCAATTTTAGTATTTTAAATAATTTATTTTTGTTATAACGGTGGTTTAGTGGTAAGGGGTGTCAATGATATTTAAATACAAACTATATCAGTGATATTTTTAATAATGGAAGGATATATTTGAAGATATAATAAACTAAAAAGGGGTGCGGCTAAAATTTTCTCAAAAATAAAAAATTGCTTAGGATAAATTACAGTGAAACCCCTTCTAGCAAGGTCTAAGTAAAGGAATAGCCTTTTGATTTTTTAAAGGTATCACTACATCCACTATAATTTGTATATTCTCCGGATATCACCACCTAGTCCCCTACAACCATCATTTGTTAAAAGTAAAATTCATGATGCCATGAAAGATTCTTGTATATCTTTGTATGTACTAGTTTTCTTGACCTTTTGACTAGATTGTTTACAAAATAAACAAATATTCCTTTTGAGTTTTGAGTTTTGTCTTTATTTTTTACTTAATTCTTTTATGTAAATTAAGAATATCAACATAATAAAAACACAAAATATATTATAAAAGCATAAAGCTTCTGAAGACCATAAATCACAACAACTGCTTAAATTGTTTGAACGAAATAATAAAAAGATATATGAAAAATATTTAACTTAAATAAATATATAACTCATGATAGAACGAAATGGAGAAGATGGACGTATGTAGTCGACCCAAAATGTTTGAGACATAAGGCTTGTTTAGTTTGATCGATTGTAAATTTTATCAAACATTTGAATTTGGTATTAATTAAATAATTCTAATAAAACTACATCATTTAATCAAATTTTTAGGTCCAAATAACATTATTCTTTAAGTCTAAATAAATGTGTTTTTTGGGTACAAATAGCATTACAAAATACCTCTTTTACCTGATACCGAAAGGGAACGTCAATTTATCTTTAGAAATTTGAAAGAATATCACTGTATTTAAGATATTCTATGGGGGTGTAACTATAATTTGTCCTATATTATAGTATTAGTATATATATATTGGACATAAAAACCATTGAAGCATTGCTCCATGGAATATCCCCATGCCCTATTCTAATTCTAGGTGGGCGAAGGTAGGTTAAAAGTCCAAAAAGTCCCCAATCCTTATAACGCTCCTCATGGTACATGCATGTTTATGTCAACAAATTTATGGCATTGTCTTTGTGTCACACTCAGTAATTTCGTTGCCGTATCGCTCTTGTGAGAAGAAAATAAAGAAACAAAAGGTCTCCTCACGGCACGCATATCTTCGCAAGCAATCCTACGCTACTTCTTCTTCTTCGTCTTTGGCCTTTCCTCCTCTTTCTCTCCCTCTGTAGGTAATTCTGAAGAAATTGGGCGCAAATCTGGTTTTCTTCATCGCTATTGGGCTTGACGGTAAATTTATTATATTTCTTTCACTGTCATGGATGATATTGACTATAATCGATTGAGAACCACTTTGAATTCGATTTAATTTTGAAATTGGATAAAACCCATTTTCCATCGTGGTTAAAGTTAGAGTGGGTAATTTCTGGAAGTGTAGGAATTACAGTGTAGCTGTCATTTATACTGCAAGGTACCCGTCTTTGATTGACTATTAGGGTTTAAATTGCACTTTCGCTTCTCTGGGTATGGACTTTTTTGGGTTCTGCATGATTTGATTGATGAAATTAAGTCGTGATTATTGGTTGTAGTTGTTAGAAATTGTGATCGTCTTTGGGGGTAAATGAGTGTTTTTTGTATTGGATGTAAATGTTTGATGTTTGATGTGTGTATGTGCTGGAAAGGCACATTGGTTTTACTCCCATCTCAGGTGTTTTGATAGCAATTAATCCATGGAGAACAAATATTGTGCATCAACTGCAATAACTGCTTGTGTTCTATAAAGAAATTGTGCCGATTGTGTTGCAAAATTGCCTGAAATACAGAATGTGTTTCAGTTACAGAACAGAACTCGTATTATCCTAATTCCTCAAGATTCAACTACTACAACAACATTTATCAGTGGCTATGAGTGAAATTTATACATGTTGATTGTGGACTTTTTCTGAATTGATTGTGTACTATTTAGTGTATATAAGGTAATTGTGTGCATGCCACCTCATGATTTACTGAAATATAAGAATCATTTTTATATCAAGACATCTTTAAATGCAATTGTTCGACTTCAACATATTTTTTTGCAGTGAAGCTAGCACCTGATTTGAAAAAATTAGAGTAGCTAACCATTTGATGAAATGTAATTTATTGAAGCTCTGGCTTCATGATGTCTAATTGTTCTGAGACTCAGAAACCCTATTGACAATATTTCATTCACATCAACATTTTTCTTGTGCTCAATTGTTCTTGGTCATAATATTTCTGTATTTTTCCTTTTCTTCCCGGATTTTTTTTTCTTTTTTTGGAAGGAGGGGGGGTGTTGCTGATATATTGTGTGTGGTAATGTCTTTTTTATGGTTCATGCCACTTTTACTTAGCCTTCTACATAGTCTTATTGTTTTATTTAGAAAACTTCCCTTGCTTTCTTTCTCATTGGGAATGGAAGTTTATTGAAAGAATGGAAGGGTTCTACTAATCAGTGTTCATCACACATTGAGGTTTCCACTTTCCACTTATAAATGTGCGTTCTTTCTTTTTATTTTCTTTTTCCTTCAGGTTATGCACTTAGGTTAGCCTTATTCTAAGAATTGATTTTGTCACTCCTTAAACAGAAACATACCACTAGACTTTTCTTATTATATGCGGATATTTTTTCTTCACATTCTCATCCACTTTTAAAAGGTTGTGCATACTTGAACTTGCAGACATCCTGAATCACTAGAATGCTAGTGTTATGCAACATTGACCGGTGCCTCTACCTTTTTCTTTTGAGCTAAGGTCCTATTTGTGCTGTTTTTGGCCATTTTCATTTTTATTCCTGTGGAAATTGGCGTGACGTGCTTTGTCTGGCTTCTGATTCTTCACAATGCTTATGGGAATTCTTGAATTTTCACCTGTTTTTCACGTGTAATAAACTCTGCATATGTTTGATGGGTGATGCTTGGATAAATCTATGATTCTATGTCGAACCTGTTGGTACATGACTATATTACACCTTACTATTCTTGCTACTATTCAATCCTTTATGGGGTTAGATGTTTTCAGCCTTTTGTTGTTTCATTGTTACTAGCAATGGGCATTACATTAGGAACACATCTTAAATGTTTTGGGATCTAATAGTTTTGTTAGGGAGAACATTGAGGTGTGGAAGTGTAGTTACTTTAGTATGGTCTATGTCAAATTCTGTTATGTCCCAATAAGGAAAAATATGACTTGGTACATTGGGTTGTGTGTTTTCTCCAAGCCTTGAGGCAAATATTATATATGTTCCTTAAGATATTTGGAGACACATGATTGAGTATCATTGTTTAGCCAATGTTGGAGACAAGTCCAAAAATTATATTCTGACATGACTGTTACACTGAGAACCCAATTGATTGAGGTGTGGAAGTGTAGTTACTTTAGTATGGTCTATGTCAAATTCTGTTATGTCCCAATAAGGAAAAATATGACTTGGTACATTGGGTTGTGTGTTTTCTCCAAGCCTTGAGGCAAATATTATATATGTTCCTTAAGATATTTGGAGACACATATGATTGAGTATCATTGTTTAGCCAATGTTGGAGACAAGTCCAAAAATTATATTCTGACATGACTGTTACACTGAGAACCCAATTGATTGAGGTGTGGAAGTGTAGTTACTTTAGTATGGTCTATGTCAAATTCTGTTATGTCCCAATAAGGAAAAATATGACTTGGTACATTGGGTTGTGTGTTTTCTCCAAGCCTTGAGGCAAATATTATATATGTTCCTTAAGATATTTGGAGACACATATGATTGAGTATCATTGTTTAGCCAATGTTGGAGACAAGTCCAAAAATTATATTCTGACATGACTGTTACACTGAGAACCCAATTGATGGGTTCTAAGAGAGGCGAATGGGGATTTGGTAGTGAAAGTGGTGCTTCCATTGTGGTTCACATTTAACACATTGATTTCTTTTGGCATTGCCTCTTTGTTTGCAGGTTATGTTTTTCTTCTTTTTGTTTGCATCCTTTCCACCCCCTTCTAAATTGTTCCAGTCATGTCGAATTTTTATTTTTCTTTTGCCTGTGAGACTACTATTGAATAATGTTTTATTTTTTGTCCCTTTTTCCGAGAAAATGAAGAATACATAAAGAAAAGGCTTCATAATTGTGTCGAAGAAAATGATCTAAATATTTCCAAGTTTGTTGTGCTTCCAACTTAAGTGGTACTCACTAACTTGGAGCCTCTGCTTAATTTATGGAAACTGAGATCGGAAGTGATTGTCGCCTTCCTGTATATGACTATACCAGCATAAGGGAATTTCCATCGTCGATCCACTTCTCCCATTTTGCATCTACTTCTCTTTTGGTTGATGAGGTTGATAGCAAAATTCTAATGCTGCATTTCATGAAATCCTGTGCTTCTTGCTTCCCCCTCAATAAATAAACCCAATTAGGGTTAGCATTGAAGTTTGTCGCGGGATTGTTAATTATGTGTGACTTTTCATCAAATGATTGTTCATTTGGTGTCCATCTTGCTATCAAGAGTTTTCATTTGCCAGTTAATTCAGTCTGATATATCTTGGTTTGATGTTGCTGCATTTAATACCAACACGCACCTTATTGACTTTTGTAAGGTGCAGTTCGGTGTCTTATGTAGATGAAGTTGGTTTTTAACCATATGTTATGTCCTGTATCTATTTCTCTTTTGGGGAAGTCTAAGTGCTAAGAAAACTTAAGCTATGACAGCGACAAATCTAACTAATTTCACACTCTTGCGTAGATTTTGTGTGCTTGATTACTTCACAGCTAGACTATGTTGTGATGGCTGTATTTCATATTTGATTGAGTCTAGACGATGGAATCTGGATTTGTTTCTTCAGAAAGGCTGATTGTGGTGCCAAACATATTTGTTACATTATTTCGGATTACGGATGCACCTGTATTAGATTTGAATTCTGTGGTTTTTATCTGTTTCTACACTTTCACTGTTACCAAACTGAGTGACTATTTTTGTGTATAATATTTATTTGCTTATTTAATGTTTCAGATTTGTGTATTTCAATGCGGTCTTCGCCGTGGCAGCAAATCTCCTTTACAGCTTAACAAGACACAGCTGAAATTGATGCTATAGAACGGTTATGTCTGGACTGATAGACGGTATCCCTGACGCTGTTGCCCTCAGGTGCCTTGCACGGGTTCCCTTCTACCTTCATCCAAAGTTGGAACTTGTTTCCCAGTCCTGGCGAGCAGCCATTCGCAGTGCTGAACTTTTCAAAGCTCGACAGGAGGTCAACTCATCTGAGGATTATATGTGTGTGTGCGCATTTGACCCTGATAATTTATGGCAGCTTTATGATCCCCTGCACGACATTTGGATTACACTCCCTGTCCTTCCTTCAAATATCAGGCACCTTGCCCACTTTGGTGTGGTCTCAACCGCAGGAAAGCTGTTTGTGCTAGGTGGTGGCAGTGATGCTGTTGATCCATTGACTGGTGACCAAGATGGAAGTTTTGCGACCGATGAGGTTTGGTCATATGACCCTATCACTCGTCAGTGGACCTTGTGTGCATCCATGATTGTGCCTCGTGCTATGTTTGCATGCTGTGTCTTGGATGGAAAGATCGTTGCTGCTGGTGGTTTCACTAGCTGCAGGAAATCAATTTCTAAAGCAGAAATCTACGATCCTGATAAGGATGTCTGGGACTCAATACCTGATCTGCACCACACTCACAATTCTGCATGCTCGGGAGTTGTTATTGAGGGTAAGGTGCACGTCTTGCACAAGGGATTGTCAACCGTGCAGGTCTTGGCTAATGTGAAGCAGGGTTGGATAGTTCATGATTATGGTTGGCTCCAGGGTCCAATGGCAGTGGTTCGAGGGATGCTCTATGTGATGAGTCATGGCCTAATTTACAAGCAAGAGAGAGAAGCAAGGAAGCCAATTGCTTCAGCATCTGAGTTTCGGAGAAGAATTGGGTTTGCAATGATTGGCTTGGGAGATGATATATATGTGATTGGAGGAGTAATTGGGCCGGAACGCTGGAATTGGGACATCAAGATGATGTCTGATGTTGATTTTCTGACGCTTGGGAGTGAGAGATCAATTTGGCGTCAAGGGGCTCCTATGACACGGTGCCGGGGAACAATTCTTGGTTGTGCACAGCTGAGAATTTAGGTTTTCATTTATTTGGGTGGTGGCTTTTGTTGATCTTTTGTGACAATTTGCTGCTGTTGAAGGTTTGGTGCCATCACCAGCCCCCTTGTTTTGCTTGTAATCCATACTGCTTCCTGGTAATGAAAGCTTTGGAGGAACTTTCTGGTGGTGGTTTTTTTTGCACCTTTTAAACAGGCAACAGGTGACTGGTGAATGAAAAACATGATGTATTGGCATGAAGAAAGCTTGTATTTTCTTCTTATTTTTTTGTTTTGTAATTGAATACAGTTCAATTTGTTTCTCTACCCTTCCAATTCTTTTACCTTTCGGTCCTCTCTTGTTGGTGATGCATATGGTGTATTGGTCGATGGGTGAGCATTCTCGTCTCTTTGAGCATTGTGCTGCTCCAAGTTTTTGCTAAACGGTTCCGATGCTATCAGCAATAGAGGTTGTTTTGTTGCTCCCTCATTTTATTGGGTAAATTCCATTTTACCCCCTTGAACTATTCCTTTTGTTTCATTTTGCACTCCCAACTATAAAATTTTTCACATGATACCATAAAGTATTAATTTTATTTTATATCATTCCAATAGATAATGGCAAGTGGCCTGTATTGTTAATAAGCAATTGCTTATTACAAATGTGCATGTCAAAAGTCAAGAAAAATACCCATCCACGACTAAGCCTGATAATTCTAGACACGACTCGTGAAATCGACATAAACCTAATACGGATTTAGCGAATTTTGGTGGTCTTAACGGTTTGGGTGATTAATGGATTAACTTGGCAAACCCGTGAAATAAATGAACTGGTTTCGTGTTTAACCTATAAAGTCATTTAAACCTGTTTAACCCGTTAACAGTGACACTATAAATTTTTTTTAAAAAAGTTAGGTCTTTCAGCCTCTACCTAATTACACACCTCCCATTTTTCAGACTCATTCAAATTTAGTAGTCATTTAATATTTATTGTTTGTCTTTAATTTTTTTTGCTTAGCTATAACTTATTGTTATAGTAAACAGGTCAAACATGTGTAATGTGTGATCATTTGATGATTTTTTGTGTGGGCTCAAAATACTCTAATTTATTCTCTTATTTAGCAGGTGACACACGAGTTGCATCGGGGAACCCGTCTAATAAATGATTTGTGTATGGATGTGATAGTTGAACTCTTGTATATAAACAAATGAGATATGGATAGAGGGTTTTTTGACACAAACCCGTTCCATTCAATACGAAACCGTTCCACTCGACACGATTATCAGGCCTATCCATGATTTTGTTCTTTCTAAGCTCCAAATTTTCCTCCTCTAGTTGACCTTCTCTTCTCAACAACCATTTGATTTGCAAAAGAGATAAAACAAAGTGGTTCTATACATTTGACAGGAAGCTCTTTGGGGTTTTCTTCCCTCTTTTAACAGATTTTCAAGTTTGTCGTTATATATTGGAGTGATATGAAACAAAATTGATACTTTATAGTATAATGTAAGAAATTTTATAATCGAGACTGCAAAGTAAAACAAAGATAATAATTTAGAAATGTAAAATGTAATTTACTCCATTTTATTTAATCTCAAATCTCCACTACAATGTTTTTGCATGTGCAAAGAGTCTATTTTGGTGGTTCAAAAACTTATTTTAAAACAATAATCAGGAAGAGGAGGTCGATTAATTGACAAGACATTTCATGTAACTTAACTTCTTCTATCAAAACAAAAAAAAAATAAAAAAATTCTTTTATCAAAACAGATACTTCTATGTAATACTAGTTGTTGCACGTGAATCAATTATAATTATAATTTTGAGTCTAATTTGTTAATTTTATTAATTCTTTTTATTTGTTCAAGATTAAAGCAATTTGATATGTGGTGATAGTTAAATTGCACATGCATTTAGATCATTGACAAAGGAAGGTTAGATCTCTTGTAAATAGATACGAAAAAAGGGTGTAATATTATTCAAAGCAGAAAATACACAATCTAGTTTTAACTCTTTGTCACATTGCCAGAAAAAATCATTTCTAGATTTATTTATATGTAAGGAAATAGTTGGGACTTGCCACGCACATACTTTGTTAGTTAATAAACCATTCTTGACATATTGTTATAAGGCCAGTCTCCTATTTAATAGCAATTCCACCATATAAGTATAGTTTCTTAATATATCACTACACATATTGACGACATTTTGAGTGGTACTATAATTATGTTAGACGAACTCTTAAAATCCACAACCTTAGCAATCAACCAAAATGTATCACAAACCTTGCCAACAGTCTGATGCTTCTTGTTTACACATTACATGTGGTAATTAACGGCTTGCTTTTACGACAAGGCCTAAGTCTCCCAATTCCCATCATTAAGGAAAGATAGAAATATTTAGTTAGTAGAAATTAATGAAAAAAATGACACCTAAAATTAAAGGTTTAAATAATTGTCATTTAACAACATAAATAAGAACAAAATTTATAAGTGCCAAATGATAAAACATGAACCAAAGGAATTCAAAAACGTCAATCTTCAACATAACATGTGCTAGCACTTAGAAAAACCCAAAAAAAAAAAATATAACATCCATCACCACACATTACAAAAATTATCAGTTATAGGCATGAATTACTTAAAACTGATCACATGCACATCTGCGTGAGGAGGTTGGACATGAAGGAGAAGGATTTTTAAGCCAAAGGTGTTGGAACAAATGCTCTACTTCATCGTCCACTCAAGAGCCCTATGTTGTTTATCCAAATTCTAAGCTTGTAGATTCCTCTTGAACTTTCACTCTTTATATGATGGAGTCTGAAATGTGATACATTAAAGCCCTTTTAAATGTTCACAAATTGCCACATGGTTAGTATACCCATTCATATGCCATGAGATGACGGTTTACAACTATGTTGTGACTCCTAAAAGGATTGTTGGTTAAAACTTTTATACTCAGAAACCTTAGAGTCACAACCTGACGGTAACTCTCAGACAAAGGTGAAAAGGGTGGGCAAAATAGTAAGTAATTGTATGTTTAGTTAATTTGTATCTATTTAATTTGAAATTAATATGAGAGGAAGCTTAGGAGTCTGGTGTGTAACTTGGGTGAGAGATGAGAGGATAGGATGTAAGTGGTATTAGTTATTTTATTAAGGTTATTTTAGTCAACTAAAAATTTTTCACTTTTGTTTACATTTTATAGTAGTACTAGTTATTGCATGTGCCTGAAGACATAAAATAATAAAAAATAATAAATAATAAACATACTTATATTCATATCAAAAATTAAATTACAAACATAGAGAAGAGATAAAAAAATTTAAGCATCGATTTATAGTATAAGTGAGAGGTGGTGGGTAATGGTGATGGTAAAAGACGGTGATGGTTGTAAATGAGTGACAATAATCGTGGTGACGTTGGTGGCAACGAGGGCGGCGGCAATGATGGTGGTGGTGGCTGTGGCGACAATGACAGTGGCGGCAACATTGATGGTGGCGGTGGCGACGACGATGGTGGTGGTGACGGCGGTGATGGTGGTGATAGTGGCGGCAACAACAACGGTGGTGGCGGCAGTGGCAGTGGTGGTGGCGGCGGTGGCGGTGGCGGTGGCGGTGGCGGTGGCAGTGATAGAAATAGTGGTGGAACGGTTTCAAACATTATTTTTTTTTATTATGAAAAATAATTTCTAAAAGTATTTTTAAAAAGTCACTTCAAACACATTCTTAGGGGTCTATTTTTCCTATTAAATTTAGGTTGTTAATATTAGTCGTTAGATTAACTTTAAAGTAAAATTTAAAGAGATCTCAACTGCGAATAGTAAAAATTATTTTGTTTATCTTTTAAGATTTGAATTGTAAGCTATTTTATTATATAATTAAATTTCATTTAGATTTTCGCTAATATAGTATCATTATCTTTTATTATTTGTGCTAAATCAATAGGGTTAATAACACTTTTGATCTCTAAAATATATACATATTGTCAGTTTGATCTTTGTAGTATTATTTTATTAATTTGGTTTCTGAAATATTAATTTTATTAATTTGGTCTCTAAAATATTAATTTTATCAATTTGATCCTTAAACACATTCAATTCATATTTAAATGATCATTACATAGACAGACCGTTAAATTTTTTACGAAATGATCACATGCTGGACACGTAATACCGTCTGAAAGAATGATACTTTTATAAAAAAAATAAATGAATTGTCTAGTTAAGGATTAAAGTGACACAAATTAAAATTTTAAGAATTAAACTAATAAAACAAACATAGACTAAAAATTTTATTAACCTTTTACGCCATAGAAAGAATACAAAGAACCGAGCTTTTAAAGGGCAGGGCTACCCCGGCAACTCTATTCTAAATGTACCAGGTAAATAAAAAGAGTTGGATAGGAGTCGCTGCATCACGGCTTCTTTTACACTTTTCCCAACAACTTTAAAAGCCCTAGAAAATTGGGCCTTGGAATTTAGATCCATAGTGATAGAATTACAGGCTTCAGAGTACACTTCTTTCTAATTGGGCCTTAATGTTAACCCACGTACAGAAAAAGCCCTAAAGGGCATAGAAGGAAGAAGACGACTGTAAACCGCGAAAAACCCTACCTTGAAGCCTTTTTGCAGTCAAAGAAAATGGAGGAAACTTCCATGGAAGAGCACGAACAAACCCTAGAAACGGAGGTGGCTCCGGCCCTTATCGCAGTCCACCCCACCCAACAATCCGTCGCTGCCGCCGTCGGGTCCGACCTCCGTGTCTTCATTCTCGAGTAATCTCTCTCTCTCTCTCGCCTTAGATTTTCTCCTCTTGTATTTGGTTTTCAAGAAATCGAAAGAGTGTTTGCGAGTAAGTAACGTAGTTGCATTAGGCACTGCTGTGTGGAGGTCTCCTTCAATTTCTAGCAGAGCAGCATAAGATAAAATATTGAAATTCGATCTAGATATGTTGTGATTTGAGCAAAATTACTGCTCGAATTTATAATTGGTACGTAATTCACAACTTTCGTAAATCTTATAGTGTTGTTGCTTTGCAGAGAAGGTTGTTCAGTTGCTCTGGTAGATGATTCTGCTGGGCCTCTTCATAAGGATTCTATTAGAGCAATTCGTTATGGTGCAAAAGGAAGGCTCTTTGTATCAGCTGGTGACGATAAACTGGTCAAGATTTGGTCCACAAATTCATGGCGTTGTATATGTACTGTGTAAGTCTTTCAAATCTAGTAGGCTTCGTTCTGTACACACCGAAGGCGGAGGCAAAAATGGTCTGTCAGTGTGTATGAAATTGAACACAGTGCTTTTATTCACTTGTCCTCGATGCTTATGTTTTGATTTCCTAAAGCTCATTAGGTCTGATAATTGGAATTTGGAGGTATCAAAATTTCTTAATCCAACTTCTTTGCTTTGGTGGCTGAATGTTTGTAATGCATGATATGCCAATATTATATGCTGGAGCACTCTAATTTCCCGGCGTCCTACTAAAGTGATTTCTGGTTTGACAGGAATTTTACTGTTCTTGCCAGAAAAATTAGCTTAGCTTTAAAAAATATTTTTATTTTTGGTTTGTTATGTTTTCTTGTTTATGAGAAGAGAAATATATGGTAAATTAGTACTTTTTTGGGAAGAAAAAGGCCAAACATACGTAAACAACTCGTCTGATGTAGAATATTCTTAGTTCTAGAGTTTTGCATGAGAAGTTCTGTCGGGAACAATTCTTCAAATGAAATCGTTCTGGCCTTATTACATTCTAACTAGTGTTTTATACTATCTGCCCTGTTGTACAATGATTTAGATCATAGAGTATGTTGCGTGCAGTGTTCTGTGTTTTGGGTAACATCATGTCCTACAAGTTGCACAGCTTAAAGTTTTTCCTTGAAGGTAGGATTCCTCAGTACTCTATTGAGATTACATTATTGTTGCAATTGTCACAGGTCGTCGGAGAAGAGAGTGAGTGCACTTGCCATAAGCAATGATGGTCTGTTTGTCTGTTTTGCTGACAAGTTTGGTGTCGTTTGGGTTGTGGATCTGGATGGTTCCCATGAAAATCAACCTTTAGTCAATAAGAAGGCAGTGCCACTTCTTGCCCATTATTGTAGCATCATTACCAGCCTGGTGGGTCATTTATTCAAATATAATTTCTACAGTTTTCAAAATCTGCTTTGACCTTGGTTATTGGTTGTTTTTCTTAAATATAGTACGGAGGACCTTTCTATAGTTGTCAGTTGTATGAATGATGAATCAGCGTCTATTTATTCCATCTTTTCTCTAGAATTTGAGGGGTCGGTGAAGAATCGTGTACTTTGTCTCCTGTTTTCTTGATCATTCATTTTGGAATTATAATATAGCGTTGACTTCTGTTCTTTCCCTCCAACTCACGTAGCGCTGATTTATTTGTTTCTTATCCAAGAATCTCCTTTTTAAAAATTACGTCGACACTAGTCTTGATGCTTTATACATTCTTCACTGTTAACATGAACTACTTCTTACAGAAATAACATCTTGCAGGAATTCTCAGCAGAGGGGCGATTTATTATTAGTGCTGATCGGGACTCCAAAATCCGTGTAATTCAGTTTTTCTACCCATTTAAGCTAATTCATAGCTGCTGCCCAGGATTTCCTTGCAAAGTTTTTGATATTTTCTCAAAACTACAGGTTACCGTATTTCCCAAGAAGCCTTTAGATGGAGCTCATGAGATACAAAGTTTTTGCCTTGGTCACACTGAGTGAGTAAGCTTTTCATTATCATGTATTTGTCTCTTAAAAGAAGTAAAATAATTTATTGGCTGGAGAACATTACTTACACGAATTTTCATGTATATATTGGCAGGTTTGTATCCTGCCTTGCCTTTGTTTACAGTTCAGATTGTCCAGAGGGGTTTCTGGTCTCGGGCAGTGGTGACTCAACGGTGAGTACATTATAAAACTAACAAAATCTGCATGGCTTGCGCCATGACTTTTTCATCTTTGAGGTGCCAAAAATTGCTTATTTATGTGATTTATTTGCTTTTGCAGGTTCGGTTGTGGGATCTTACCTCTGGGTCTCTTCTTGATATCTTTGAAGTTGGAGCAGAGGTAGCCCTATTGTTCTAACTTTAACCCCTAGACTTCTGGTGATATCCGGGCATTTCCTTTTCTTTCTGATATATGTCATCATATATCACCAATTTCCTGGGCAAACTTTGGCTTTGAATTGAATACAAATCTAAAGTTTTGCCATCAACCCTTTTTTTTGAAGTTGTGCTGAGATCAAAAGTGCAGATGAGATAGTGATACTACTAGGAACTTTAAAGGGGACAATCCTCTTCCTATGACTGCCCCCTCTATTTTACCTCCGCACTTGTCATATATCTGCAGAAGTTATGAGATGATATAATTCTTATACTTTGTGCCTATTACTTGCCATTTAATGTTTTCATTGAGTGTCATGGTAGTTTTAATCTGGTTTTAAGTTTTTCTGGCTTCCTGAAGGCAGGACTTGTACAGTCTAATGGAACAGAACAGGAGGGCTATCCAGCCGTCACTGATTTATGTGCCACTCCTGATGGCTCGTTAATTTCAGTAGCCATTCAAAGGCAAGTGCTCTTTGCATCTCTTAACTATCATTCTGTGAACTTCTGAGGGTTTTGATGTTTCAGTGTCGTCAATCTTCTAATGTTAAGTTTTCTACTCGAATTGTAGCTTGCCAGGAGTTATGATTTTGAGCTGCGACCTTTCTGCTAAAACTCTTTCCATTGTCAAGGTAAAATAGCAATTTTCTTAGAGGATGTATGTGGACTGTGAATGGGGGCAACCGAGTATGAATTGAACACTACAAGTTCCTGTCACTATTATTTATTTGTGTCACCAATATTTTTTTCTGTCTGATTGCCACAATGATGGCTGCCTGGAAAGTTAGGTTGCTCATATGTCGACAAAGATTTCAATCCTCACATTTGGGGTCCTTCAAGTGTACAATATTTTGGAGAATTTTAATTGAATCATAATATGAAAGTGCAAAATAAAATTATGCATATGCTGGAAACTGTGCTTTTGGAGAAAGCTACTTGCATTTCCAACAAGATATTGGCACTTATACAGATTATAATATTCTCTTACAGAAACTGCCCAATCATCAACAGATCTAAACAAATAATCTTGCGCTCATTATTTGTTTTTCTCTGTTATTCTATATTTCTTGAATGTTGTTGCAGGTGGTTTCCATCACTGGAGAGGCCTTCATTCCCACAAGCTTAGGAGCTGCCTCTTCAGCAGAATTATTATGGATGGTCATGGGTGTCTCCAATTTACATGGTTCAGTTTCTGGATCTTTAGCCCGTGTGAGAGTTATATCTGGTTTTAACAAAAAAAAAAGGAATCTGCTGGGCACGAGCCTATTTTGTTGGAAGATAATGACATTCCTGGTGGACAGCAACTTCTGCAGAAGCTACAGGGAGATTTGTCTATCGAGAGAGAAGTATTCTCTGCAGCCGCGGAAGCTGTGAAAACTGCATTGCGCAATTTGTTGATCAAAAAACAATACTCTGCTGAGAGACGGGAGCAGAGAAAGAGAGGACGAAATGATAAAAAAACAAAACTGTAGCAAGATTTCACAATGTTATCGCTGTTCTTTGTGCAATTTTTCCTTGTGGGGCAGAAACTCATGTCATCAAAGTTGTTGCAGAACATCCCGACACTTGTAAGTCTTCTACAAGTTAATTGTTTATCATATGATCATCAATACTTATTACCCGGTTTTGCAGTCAATTTTTGTGTCATTTCCTCCAGTGAATTATTCTCCTCTTCATCTTGTTGAAAATAACTTTGCTATTATACCCCCCAAAAAAAAGAAATTAACTTTGCTACGGACACCAAACTCTTTCACGAAATTTTGTTCACCAATTGATGTGACGTCATCTATCAAAATATCACAATAAAAATAAGGGGTCAGATGCTATTCAATGGTTTTTAATGATATAAATCAATTTGAAAATGAATTTTCACCCTCCATGCTTGAGGTAGAGGAATATGAAATTTATGAGGTCACCGTCATAACTAGTACTACTATATCTGACTCTGCATATTCTAAAATTGCAGTGTAACCAGGAAAGTTACACCCCAGTGCCATTCCAATCAGCAAGTGTATATATATATATATAGTAATTACCTATATTTGAAGGCATTACGTTACTCTTAAAAAATTGTAAATATTTTTTCATATATAAAAGTAATGTATAATACAATTTTAAAAATACAACGATAAAATTGATATTCAACATGTATGTAGAACATATATATAACGAAAGTCACGCTACAACTACTATAACATATTAATTTAAAATTTTGAGAAAATATAATTATTATTGATCAAACATTCACAATTTTAATATTTTTAATAAATTTTATTTCAAATTTAAAAAAAATATAATTATTTGTTTTTCCACATGTTTCTACGTAAAGTTCGTAATATTATCTTTGCACCATTTTTTTAATGTGAGTTCGTGTAATTTTTGTGAGGAAAACATCCAAAAGTTTCACGTGAATTCTCGTAAATGTAAAAAAAAAATTTGAAAAATAAAAATCAATTTTCATTTAATTTTAATTTAAATATTCGTAAAATTCAATCGAATTTAAGTTTTGGTAGGACTATTTTCACCCCATTTTAATTTCTCATTGTTGAACTACTAAGTTCATCCTTTCTATACATACCTCATTAGTAATTAAGTCAATTCCATGTTATATACATCCCATTTAATAAATAAACTCAAATTATATTTTGTCATAATTAGGGTTTCATTATCTATTTCATCTCATACACTCACAAAAATATTTTTTAATAGGAATTTTTCTAGTATTACTTATCAATTTAATTTTATGTTTGATTTCTTGTTTGTTGTATAAATTTTCATTATTTTCAGTATGTTTTGATATCTCTGTCGAGTTTAATAATTTTTTATTTAGAATTTATATATGTGTATAAACTTATATGCTTTTAGATTATTTGTTGTTTTTTTATTTTGTTTAGGTTTTACATCTATACTTGTTATTTTTTTGTTGTTCGATTTTGTATTTGTGCTCGACACTTTTTTTTTTATATCCGATTTTGCGTCTTGTGGTTTTGTGTTTTGTAATTTTGTTTGTTCGTTCGTTTAATCTTTACTTAGTTTTTTTTTTTGTTCTTGTTTTGGTTTGCTTGTTTCTTTCTTTTTTTCTTTTTCCTTATTTTGTTCTTTTCTTCTTAAAAGAGGGTGGATATATAAATGATGAACTTAATAGTTTAATAATGAAAAATTAAATGGGGGTGAGAATGGAGATTTGGGGGTGGAAATAACCCAACCATTTAAGTTTAAGTAAAAATTAATATTTTATACTTGACAGTCAAATTCAGCCCAATTCGAGTCTTAATCATAATTACGTCAAACCAAGAATTGAATTTAAGTTTGACTCAATTAACACTTTTATCTTAAACCTACAAATTAATTATTATCTATTTCCGTTCACTGTGATGCCATAACTTATTTTTTTTTAAAATTTAATTATTTTTTATTACTTTTACAATCAATTTTAATTTGACTTAAACTTGAATACTAATAAAATTCAAGTAAAGTTAATTTTAAGGAAGAATATATATTTTATACTTGACAATTAAATTCAATTTAATTCGAATCCTAATCATAATCACTTCAAACTGATAATCTAGTAAAATGAAATTTGGAGGAGGAATTTCGATTAGTGAATTAATAATCTTAAAACAATTTGAGCCGTGAAAAACTCAAGATTAATAATGCTAGTTCCTTACATATATAATATTCCCCTATCATACCATTCGAATATTATACTATTTTTATTTCAATATAAAATATGACTTATATTATAGTCATTCGACTTATTTTGATGCAAAAAATTTATATTTATGATCCATTTGTTTATTTAAAATTTTTAAAAATAATCTTTAATTAAAATCAAATTTAACGACCTATTTAATTTGTAGTATGAGATAGAGAAATATAGAGAGTTATAAGAGAGATAGGAGTCTTAAAATTGTGGAATGAATGAAAGCCTTGCTCAAAAAATTGAGTGAGAGTAAATTTCGTATTAGGACCGTTAGATCAATATTTCTTCAAGCGATCTGAGCCGCGAAAAGTTAAAGATAAAAAAATTTAGCTAATTTATTATATAGGTATATTCTCAAATTAGATTGCTCCGAAAGCACAACCGAAAACACATTGGATAAGTACAAAGCCGCCTAGATGTGGGCATGCTTCTGGCTAAACAATTCACAATGCCATTTCAGGGATTTTAGGTCATTTTGGTTGGGAACTAAGAGGAAGAGTATTTTATTTCTCTACGAAACATTTTTGATAGGTTTGATTACACAAATCCTGCTTCACTGCTTGTCAAAAGCACCGACACCGAAAGGAAAATGCTACGTAAGAAATAGGATGCATTTCATATAGCTATTTTCCTGTATTTGATTATTGGTATAACATTTAAACTTGGGTTGAAATGGGATTTAATTTCGATCTTGGACTTATTTTTGGTCTTATTTGGTTTTCATATCAGAAACTATTTTTCTTTTGGAAAGATTTTTTAAGAGAAAAATTATTTGTCCAACTGTTTTTTGTTTTTGTTTTTTAAAAGCTGAGAAGACAAAATGGATAGATTTAGAAAATAAGTTAGGATTATTTTGTGTATTTTTAGAAATCACATTTCTAAAATTTTAAAAACACCACCATCACCACATTTATGTTTTTTATTATTTTATAAATTATTGTCTAAATAAGTTTTTATATTTTTTATTCTATAAAACTATTTTTAGAATCATATTATCAAACAAATTTTGTGACACTAAAAACACCGATGCATATTAATTTTGATGAAATTAATACAATTTTCACCGATGGTGGTAGTCTTGGTTACAAAGAAATTAATAATTTTTTATTATTTTCACGGATATGGTTGGTCTTTAAAAATCAGGTAAGCTGGTGGTAATTACCAGATAATTAAATAAATCAATTAAATCTCGGTAGTTGATTTCCCAGAAAGTCAAGGGCAATAACTCTAACACGTCCATCTCCTCTTTTTATACGGCAACAATTCTCTCTCTCTCTCACCTCCTCCTCTCTGAACACTAACACTCCGTACCTTCGATTCTCTCTCAGACCCAAAAATTTACCCCAAAATCTCTTTCTTAGATCCGCTATTAGGCTTGCGTATCTAATTCTTAATCTATCAGACCAGTTATTGATGAAATTCGTTTGATCTCAGGTTAGGGGATTTATAGGGGTTACAGTTCCTTTGAGACCATGAAGATTCATCCAGCGCCGAGGAAGCGAAGCATAACCTTGCGATACGATATGGCTTCGACTCTTGCGCAAGCGAATTCACTCGTTTGCCGACAAAAGAAACTCCGAAGACTGCCTCACATCTTCGCAAAAGTCCTCGAGCTTCCTTTCGACGCAGACGCCGACGTTTTGATCGAAGAAACCCCCGATTCTATCAGATTTAGCGTTACCGCTGATGATGTCGGTGATGACGTCAGGGCACACACAATTGAGATCTATCCAGGGGTCACCAAGATTGTGATAAGAGGAGATAACGTTCTTGAGTTGTCGATGGATGAATTGGAGCTGGATTTGTGGCGATTTCGGCTTCCGGCGTCGTCTCAGCCGGAGATGGCTAGTGCTGCGTATATTGATGGAGAGCTAATCGTGACGGTGCCCAAAGATGGGAATTTGGAAGATGAGGATGGTGGTGCTGCAGGGAATGGGGACATCGGAGCGGGACAGTTTGTTCTTGTACAGTAAATTAATACACTTCTCTTGCTTGGTTTCAATTAATGTTGTTGCTTACTTAGTTTTACTTGAAGTTCAATTGTTATCTTCATGGAACATGTTTTGGATGCTTTGATGGTTCAATGGAACTTTGCCTTCTGTTAGATGGTAAATTTGTGGCCTTTCTTTCGATAAATTATGTGTTTGGTTTGCTTCAATCCTGATTTATTGGTTTGTTTGAAATGTTCAAGTAGAAATTTGTTAATTTAGGAACCTCTTAACACCTAATCGTAGGGGGAAAAGAAAGGAACTTTTTTAACTCTGTATAATTGGTCCTTTCTTGTCATCTTGGGATATTTTGGGTAAAAATTGCTTCAATGTCTTACTGTGATTTTTGTTGATTGTTACACACACGGAGATTCTAGTTCACACTTCCAAGCATATAGTTAGTATATTATATTGTCCAGTTGTACCATAGGTCTCCGACCTGTGTGATTTCAATGTTGTCTTTTGAATTTATTATAGGGATTACATACCATTTCTCATCTTGAGTGCCTCAGATGTCATTTGTAAGAGCAAAAGAACATTGGTGTTCATTTTGATCACTAAGTTTGTACCTTATGTTGCATCACATTGTAATTTCTCTTGTATCTATAAATCTTGTCCAACTCTCCGGCTCCACCTCACCATTTAACCCCCAATTAGGCGTTCATCAGCATACACATTCTTGTCAATTGTAATTTGAGCAAACTAAAATAATCTGGCATTATTGTTTAATTTTCCTGACCTAGAATCATGGAATGTGTCTCGAGCCCTTACCAGATCCACATGCTTCATGCATAGCTGCAGTGCGTGAATCCCATCCCCAATAGCTGTTTTAAAATAGCTCTCAGAAAATGGTCCCTTAATTATTGAACATGTCGATATCAATCAACTCCAGTGATTGTGCTGTCCTCTATGATTTTTCAGTTTGGGCCCTGCTTTTAGTGTTCTGATATTTGTCTCTGCTGCTCTTCCCTTGACATCTGCTGCGAGTCTATATTCATATTTTTTGCCATAATTGTATTATTTCGAAAATTTCTAGCTATCATAACATAATATGGAATTACCTCGCGTGTATCATCTTTTCTTTTTGTTGCTCTTGTTCAGTTGCTAAAACTCGTTGCGGTTGAACAAATAATGGGAATTGTGTACAATTCTAATCCCACCATGTTCGGTGCTTTTTCATCATAAAAATTGTACCTCTTCTTGTTTACTTCAATTTATCTGCATTTGTGTTTTTTATTTTTCGAATTGGCATGTTGCCTTCAAAATTGTAATGGATAGTGCCCCAGAATTTTCTGGGATGACAATAAACTGGCACTTCTTAATCATATATCTCTTTGATTAGCCAGGTGCTACTGGTTAAGTTCGGCAATAGTCTGTAATCCGGTGTCTCGGGCTTGTCTTAGTTTTAAAGTTCTGTAATTGTGTTTATTTGGGGTGGTTGTGTAGTTTTGAGTGATTGTCAATGATCAGATTGTAAGTTTCTGTTCGTATTAGGCGTGTTAGCCAGATGAAGGTTGGGTTCTTTTTTGTTTGGTTGCGAGATTACCTTAAGAGAGGGTCAACTACTTATTCGTTTAGAACCACATAGAATATTCGCCACTAGAAAAAAGGCTGAAGCTTTTGTCCTGTAGCCCCCCCTACCTAGATATGATGAAAGAAGTGATCAGGAGTTTCAAAGTGGCCATTTTAAGGAAAGTGTTTCACTTTTATCTGGTCGAAGAATTTGATCTCTCTTCTTTTGCAGTCTCAGATTTTTCCTTAAGTCCAATAAAAGTTAAACTGTTCCCTCATCTTTTCTTATCATCTGGGATAAGCATATCTTCTACTTTTTTTTTTATCCCCCTGGATTGAGATTCTCTTGATTTTCAAATATTCTCCCTTTATGTGGGTTGGGTCCAATTAGTGGTTTACTAGGATTCCCTGTCATCTATTCAGGCTGTGTGAATGTAAGAGTTCGGCAAATAGAGATGATCCGAGTCCGAAAGGATCATCAGGATGAAGAGAGGGCTGTTTCTTAGGCACAATCACCAGTTCACCACTCATCATGTGGCCAGTCAGTTGTGTAATTCGATATTTAGAGACAGATTACTCATTTACGGCTTATAAAGTCCAACAGCTTATATATATATACTACACACTTTACTGGTTAGAGGTTCAAAGTTGAACCTTAGACGAATTTTATTGACCATGAGATATCGCACAGAAATGGATTGCTTATTGTGGACATGGCCTCCCTAGAAAAAGGGCTCATTGATGACAGTGGATGATTGAACAACGATCTAGTAATAAAAACGGGTAGACAATCCTAATGGGACCATCTATTGATTTATTTATGTAGAAGAAGTATCCAATCAAGCCAGGGAGAAAACTATTGGGAAGCCCTTTCTCCCCTCTGCCTAATCTATATAATAACACAGATAGTTTTGCTTGTATAAACACTATAACAATGATTCAGATTGTTTATATCAGATGATTTATATATTTATTTAGTTTCATTCAATAAGAACATTCAAATGTTTAGATAACTATTATTTTTGTCTTGCTAACACAAAGTACAACGGTCCAGATCATTTTATTTATAATCATTATTTAGATCGTTTAAATCAGATGATTTATATATTTAATTAGTTTCATCCAATAAGAACATTCAAATATTCAGATAACTATTTTTTTTTGTCTTGCTTATACAAAGTACAATGGTTCAGATTTTTTTATTTGTAATCATTATTTTCGCCATATGTTTGTAATCACTCATTTGAATTTATTTCTCTAAAAATCACATATTATTTTTATATAACCAATAATTAAAAAAAAAATCATTTGATAAGTAATTTTTATGTATGAGATGAGGAGCACAGATTTCTTGAATATTGTGGCTAATTTATCTATATAATATTACAGTTTGCAAGTTGAATTTTCACTTTATAAAAACACAACGGTTAAGAATTAATACGGATGAAACTCAAAGTCAGGCCTTGATGGCCTAGACGCCTGACCAGCCCAAGAGGTCCGAAGCAGAAAAGTGGGACCTGGCATCGGCAAAAGCCTATAGCCCAGCAGTCCAGGTTTAGCCCAAACCATAAGGCGATTCGGAGAGTAAAAGCTTAATCCAAGCTATTTTTGGATGAGCAAAGGGGACCACGTGTCCAGGGGGACACCCATGACGCCTGTAGCAATCCCAGAAGGTGGAGCACCAAGTTGCCAGAAATCATGGCAATGGCAACGCCGGATGAACAGTGATCGTGGTGACATAAGAACAAGAGGGGGTCAGAGGAAAAAACAGCTAGAGGCCCTAGGAGAAGCTGGTATAAATGGATAACGATAAGAAGAGGACTACAACGGCATCTCCCCGAACAAAAAAAAGATCAGAGAACATTTGAGAGGCAAAGAGCGTAGAAAGCTGAGAGAGAATACCAAAATAATCATTCTTTGTAAGTGGACCCTGAGTCCCAAGTCACTGGAGGCACTTTACCGGCAGATGAATACATAATCCCAGCGAGCAAGAGACTCTGTTGATAGTAGACGTAGCCTTAGTCCTTCGGCTAAGGTGAACCACTTATATTCTCTGTCCAACTGTTCATAAATGTTTAATCCACAATCTGCAAAGCTATTCTCACAATATCACCCCATCATAATCGGGCTTGGGCCCTAAAATCCGAGTACCATCAGTTGGCGTCGTCTGTGGGAATGCCTTTCATCGTTTCTTTATCTGATTTCTATTTGATGGTTTCAACTCGGAATATGAGTAAAGCTCCTACCAACCTTCAAGCCCACCAGAACCTGCCAGAAGATCCCCCGATTCTAGAAGTGGACACCGCAAACCACTTCACAGCGACGAACCTTCCCCCCCTCGAGGGGATGGATACTTTTCACCGAACCACGATGCAACTTATGAAACAAAACCAGAAGCTATTGGAATGGATACGGACTCACCAGCTCCCTCCATTCCCACTAGCTCAACAAGAGGCCCCTCCACCGCCAGCAGGTCACGATGCTCCCCTTCGAAGACACTAGGCTCCACCAAATGGGGTCACAGAGCTCCACGAGCACGGCCACTCTCAAGAAAACCATCGGAGAAGACGCCTCGAAGGACAAAATGAGGACGAGGTCCATAGCCGAGCCACTGCTGCCTTCCAACAGGATAGACCTCATCCTCCGTTCGAAACAGATGATTGCATATGGGAACAGAGAATCCGTGAACTCCAGCAAGAGTTGGGCAACGTGAAAGAAGTGGTTAGAGGAAAGGCCCCCTACACCATGGATGCCCTAGTCCAGCAAACCGAGTCGCCATTCATGCTTGAGGTCCTCCATTTCCCTCTCTCTCAGAAGTTTCGGATGTCGTCGGTAGAAACATTCGACGGGACCAAAGACCCAGTGGACCACTTAAATTCCTACAAGAATCAGATGGAACTCCAAGGGTATCCCGACCCGATTCGTTGCCGAGCTTTTGCCATCATTCTGAAGGGGTCGGCAATAGCTTGGTTCAATAAGTTACAACTGGCGTCAATCTCCTCCTTTAGGGAACTATCAATACAGTTCGTCTCACATTTTATCGGAGCAAGGACGTACAAAAAGCCGTCCTATCACCTGTTGAGCGTCAAACAAGGACCAAACGAGTCCCTCAGAAGTTACGTGCAATGCTTCAACCAGGAATGCCTGAAGATAGAAAGCGTGGACGATAAATTCGCATTAACCACGTTCATGTCGGGGCTCGAAGTGCAATCCAAGGACTTTCTCTTCTCTATTGCTAAGAACCCTCAGGCTACTATGGTCGAGGTGTTAGCAAAGGCTGAGAAGTACATCAACGACGAAGAAGTTCTTCACCTGAAAAGAAGTTCGGTAACGCCGGAAGGGGACAAGAAGAAGCGAGACCACAGCCCCAAAAGAGAGAAGAGGCGCGACCGTTCCTCAAGAAAAGACCGCTCTTCGAGAAGAAGAAAAGAGCCTTCCCCCAAAAGGAGAGGAAATGTCCGAGATCGGCTAGG